ATATATATATATATACACATACACAGTATATTTACTATTTTGCTACTGTATTTTAGCTCAGAAAAAAATATATATATTTTTTTAGATATTAGGTATAAACTGTCTTCTACACCAACTCTTAAACTGGTCATGTACATTACAGTGGGATTGTACAATCTCTCTAAAAATCACCTTTTCAAATCTTTCCCCACTCTATCTGAAACTGCAAAAAAACATTTTGGTTGAACTCTAAGTACTCTAAGTATTTTAAAGAGCCAGGACTTTTTTTTTTAGATTTTCACCCATAGAAAGAATTATCATGTAAAGGAAAATCTTCCTATGGAGACACTTATTCCAGAGAGGGTATTTCTGTTAGATTCAAAAGATTTCTGCTCACTTTCTTTTAGGTCTACAATAGTTACATAGTTAGTCAGGTTGAAAAAAGTCCATCACGTTCAACCAATGATGCGATACAATACAATATGATGCAGGAACTAAAATTAAATCTCTCCAATAGGACACAGGGAGCAAAAAAAATGATATAGGTTTTAATTATTTCCCAACAGAACCAAAACTGAAATGATAGCTTTAAATGTATTTTAATCTGACTATAGATAAGGGACAATTGTCACATTCCCGCTGTTTTTGTACAGGTTGCATGTCAATCTTATATCTATGGACAAAAAAAAGAACACCCCAGTAGCCCAGTTTTCTACAGTCACTACTGTTTTCCATGTGATACGCTGGTGCTGGAGGTATCTTACCCTTCTTTCTAGTTCATAGGCACAAAACTACATGGTTGGTTAGAGTCTACCTGCACGTTCAACCATCCTATAAAGGCTATGACCGCCTTAACATTAGATTTGTCACTTGCAGACAGTTGCCTTTTTCTACATTTTTTAAAAAGGCAAATATTAGCCTCCAGATAAAGGTGATATACTTGAACAAATGACACATAAGAATTATTTAAAAAAAAAAACAGAAAAAAAACACCCAGCGCCTCTTAAATGTGTTTCTTTGCCATTATTTAAACCTCAGATATCTAGGGCTTGGTGTTCTCTTTGCTAATGATGTGTGTGGTGTCATCATGCCAAGTTGAACAGAAGTCTCTAAGGACCCTTAGAAAGAAAGTTGAGGATGTCTGAGACTGACAGGGGATTTAAGAGATTGTCAAATGATTTAAAATCAATCATGCCACTGTGAGGAAGAAAAGCTACAAGTGACATAGCTTTCAAATGACTGCTAATTTGTCCAGGACTGGTTGGTCCAGCAAATTCAGCCCAAGAGTCAATAGTTGATGCTAAAAGAAGTCTCTAAGAACCCCAAGATTTTATTGTGGGGTGTTCACTTAACTCTTGCAACAGCTAGGGTCAAAGTGCATGCATCTACAGTAGGAAAGAGATTGCACCAGTTTAACCTGATTGAGAGAAGAAAAAGACTTTGCTGTTGCAAAAGAACATTAGCGCAAGACTGTTACTGTTGGGTCAGAATCACACAACAGATAGAGAAAAACACTGTTGGGGTGTCATCACTAGGTGAGTGGATAAGTGCCAAAACTGTGTTTTTTGTTGTTGTTGTTTTTTTAAAATAATATCCTGCTCCCCATGCAGCAGTAATAACAGTGCTAAGAGTGTCTTGCGTTGTCACACATGTATGTATGCCAGACCAATTAGTGGTGTAAAAATCAGTAGCTAATTGTGTGAATTCTTCTCCCGTCCTTGAAGAATGGGTATCTGAAATGAATCATACAATGAGAATGGAGGAACTCACATTAAGCCTACGGGATTGAAATGGGGAATTCCTTGGAGTCTGGAAACCTTAGATAGAGTTTATAGTCTCTACAGAACTTATGGAACTGATAAGGGAAACTCCTCCCTTTGGTCAATGATGCCCACCCTTGTTTTTGGGGGGGTTTTTTTCTTTGCGTTTCTCTCTCTCTCTCTTTTTTTTTTCTATGGGGGTAGGGAAATGGGAGGGGAATTGGAGTGTATAGGATGGATAGAGGAGAGAATGTCTGCGGAAAGGGAACAGAATTGAAAAGGGGGTGGGTGAAAACTATAATATTATGGAAACCAAAAAGCTATGGCGATGTTCCCTAATGGACTTTTTAAAGATCTTCTCTGCTATGTTTTTTTTTAATGAGTATTGTAATGAGAGATAACAAAAGCATTACTAAAATGAAATTGAAATGTAAAGATGATATGTATGTTCATAAAAAGTAAATAAAGAGATATTACAAAAAAAAACCTCTTGCAACAGCTTGGGTCTGCATGCATCTACCTTAAAAAAGAGATTGCACCAATTTATCCTGATTGAGAGAAGAAAAAGACTTTGCTGTTGCAAAAGAACATTAGCGCAAGACTGTTACTGTTGGGCCCGAGTCACACAACAGATAGAGAAAAACACTTTTTAAAAAATAATATCCTACTCCCTGTGCAGCACTAACAACAGTGCTAAGAGAGTCTTGCGTTGTCACAAATGTATGTATGTCAGATCAAATGTCAGACCAATTAGTGGTGTAAAAATCACTAGCTAATTGTGTGAATTCCTCTCCCATCCTTGAAGAGCCAAGGTAAAGGTGCATACAAGTCAGGATTAAAAATTAAGCCTTGAGATGGAACCAGGAAGTGCAGCCTAATTGCTCAATACTTCTGTTTTTCCACCAGGTTTTGCTGTAGCGGTCCACCCCACTCCATTTTGACAGATATCTGGTGATCTGAGGACCCCTGTTTGTGGGACAGGAGAAGAATTCCAAGACTAATGGAAAAAAATGTCAGTACTAGGAAGTTTTTGCCAGCCAACAAACTGATTTAAACCAGATTGGATATTTAAATGTGCTAGATGATGCCGGAAGTGCACTGCACAGGACTTCTGGAAATACAATCCCAGTGACCCTGTGAGATGCGGTCTCCTGGTTTGCATTGCAGTGGACAACACAGAGCTTAGTTTCAGTGTTTTCTGGATGACCCCAGCAGCGGTCTGACTTGATTAACTTGTTACCTGGCATTGCTTTTGAAGAGGAGTGGCATACTGGCACTTACTTGAACAAGTCTTCTTATCATTGTTCAGCTGGAAGCCTGTACGGCAGCCACAGGTATAGGAACTAAGGGAGCTAATACAGAGCTGCTCACAGCCATGATTTCCTTGAGCACACAGGTCTATCACTGCAAAACAAATATATAAATCAGTATACAGAGTAAAAAGTAATCCATAAGAGCAGCAGTAGTTTTTAACATTCAACAAAAATGCTGGCCATTGGAGCCCTAGGCAAAGGAAGCTTTGACTACTGGATGCAATCAGGAAGGTGTGTGCATGTTTATGCATTTTAAATATGTGTATTATTAAATCGCGTCTGGTTAAGACTGTTTTCAAGGGAGAGGATGGCATCTAAACCTATTTGGTAGGTTCTGAGGGCAGGACAGCATACATGTATCTTGTTTTCCTTCACCATGAACCTAACTGACCAGGGAACAGTACTCAGGGGAAATAAATTTTTCCCTTTCAATCCCTGATCCCAAGACAAATAGTATGAACAACTTATCCATTAGAGAAACAAACAGCAATTGTTGTCTGTGTCCCTGTTGGGGAGATTTCCCTTAATTTCCTGTTCCAGTGACAACTTGTGTTTCATGGTCTGAAAGGGTGGCAAAGGGACAGAAGGTAGAGGGAAATTGTCCCAACTAGGACATAAACAGCAATAACATACTGGCAGTAAATGTTACAGTTTATCTTTAAATGAAGTGGAGACTGAAAAACAGCATTACACAAAACATGTTTTTCATTTTGCTATTTTAGGATTGATAATAGGTAAAAATAGGAACTCGTAAGGGGAAGTCCATCCACCCAATACTTTATTTGTAAAAAGGCATAGCTAACTAAGGCCCAGTTTGGGGGCTGAAACATGTTAGCATTTGTTTGTTTGCTGCTTTTATGCCTTCTTACAAATTGAGTATTGGTTCGATGGACTTCCCCTTACGAGTTCCTATTTTTACCAATTATCAATCAACCCCCATTACGACTTCGGTTTTTGCCTATTGTTTAGTGAAGGCTCTGGCGGAAGCTTTACCTGGCACCGAGGTTCCAGCAGTGGGATTGGAGACAAGAGGGTAAAGCTGCTCCATGTTTATTTATTGCTACAATCTTAGGATTGCATTTGTAAAATATACAGAAACATCTTATTGACAAATATAAAAATAGATTAATACACACTATTAACCTACATGAACAAGTCTTCTTGTCATTGTTTAGTTTATATCCAGTACGACAGGCACAGGTATATGAGCCTGGAGAGCTGACACAGAGTTGTTCACATCCGTGGTTCCCCAGAGCACAGAGGTCTATTGCTATAGAAAAACAAAATAATTAATTTTTTTTTTTTTGTCATAAGTACTTTTTCACCTTCTATAAAAGTTAATGATGCCAATTTCTTTTACAATTCAGGGTTTCTTGCTAAGACTCCCCTTCTCAGCTTCTCATCTCTTCTGCATGGTGGACTAGGCAGCATGAGCCCAGCATTTTATGGATTATAGCTGTTAAAATATCTGCCTATCTCTGCTTACTTACAACAAGGTACCCTACTTCACAAAAGCAATTTAATTCTGCCAGTTACTGGTCTGTGCACACCCACAGCCCATTAGCTGAAAAGTGTAAATTATATTTTAGCTTTACAGAACTCCAAGCAATCTGACAGCACTGCTCACTTTGGTCTAGGGGCTAAAATAAAGAAAATATAATCACCTGATCCCTTGTACTATGGTGGTGATTGCTCACCTCTCGGCCTCTCCTCTCTGGTGGTGGAATGTCCCTCGGTGTCCTCATGTCTAACCGATGCATCTGCCATGATGGTTCCACAGGTCTCAGCCCACCTTAGACTTCAGGTGAGTATATTTTCTTTATTTTAGCCTCTAGACCAAAATGATCAGTTAAACCTTGCAGTGCTGGGGAAGCCCAACTACAAAGGTTAATTTTTAGCTTGTCTGAAGTTCTTTAAATCACTTAATGCAACCAAATGATAAAGGTAAATGTGGTAGAAATAACCAAGCCAGGTCCCAAAGCAACCAGTAATGTTGGGTTTCTGGTGTATTAATCATACATATGATTTATGTATGATCAATACATAATATGCTTTATATAAAGTGCAAATGAAGCCAAATGTATTTTTTTTTTTTGATTAGAGTGGAGAGGGATTAGAACACCTGTCAGCTTTTTATTGCTGTCTGTGTCCCCGGGGACTCTGGAGAAGTCCTGAAGGCGAGCATTGGAGCAGGTGATGAGGGAGCTGGTGAGCAGGAGCTCTTGGGGGAAGCATAGAGGATGGTTTGGGTGATATCTTGTGATGAGGTTGGAGATGTAGTCAGGGGCAGAGTTGTGGATGGCTTTGTTTGTTGTTGCTAGAATTTTACATTTTATCTGATGCACTATAGGAAGCCAGTGGAGGGATTGGCAGAGAGGGGTGGTGGCCACTGAGCGGTTAGTGAGGTGAGGTACGTAGGAAATCTTTCAATGGAGACACAAATTGTGGGGACCCTGCTGACCACCAGGGATTTCCCTCACTTAGGAGGGATTTCCTCTCACTTTCTATTGTGGTTATTTGACAGGAAGCGAGGGAAATCTCCACAGATGGTAAAAAAGCTGATAGGGGTTATAACCCTCCCTTAAGCTGGTCATACACTGCTTTATTTTTTTCGTTCAAATAAAAAAATAGAGCAGATTCCACCATCAATGCTTTGAGCGTGTTGATCGAGGAATCCCCGCTGTTTCTTTCGTACCCTGTGTACTTAGAATACCTGAACAGAACCGACAGCTCATTGGCCTGCTCTGTTTGCATGTAGCTTTTCCAACCGGCTCCTTCAAACAGCTGATCGAAGGGATGCTGGCTGAAAGGGTGCCGACAGTGGCACCCACTGTGAACTGGCCGAAATTCGCACAGTGTAACCACCTTTACTCCATCCAAAAATGTTTTGGCTTCTGTTCTACTTTACCATATATATTGCAGTATGATAGTTCTGCCATTTGCACACTTGCAGTGCTTAATCACAGAAGATTGTGCTTTCGGTGCCATTATTTTCGAATGGCACCCCAGTCTCGCCAAGCAGATTGCAGATTGCAATTGTGCAGGACCGTGCAATCCCGAGACGCGCAATCCCGGGACGCGCAATACCACATCGCTCAGGTCTCCACCGGCCCTAAAAACAACTTGAACTGGAACTCCCCCTAATGTTTAAAAAAAAAAACTATTGTAATTGTGTTCTGCCACAATTCTCACTTCCTCTGTTAAATCAGGCTATTGTTTTCCCTGACAACTGTCTAAGAGGGGAATTAATTTAATGTTACGTCACTTCCTGTCCTGCTAAGTCTTAAAGCGGACCTTTACAATCAAAAATCAAATTCTACCAATGCATCCCTTTATATATGATGATTAATAATAACATAGACATGTCAGGTGTAAAATGCTGTGATTTTGAAATACTTACACTTGCAGAGCATTCACTTCCTGCTTTGAAAGGGAAAAATGACTTCAGTTTGCCAAAAGCAATGCACACTGGAGTTGCCTTGTCATTAGCAGAGCATTGCTGGGAAAGCTCATCTGTAATCTCATGAGATCTCAGGGAAAGACATTTTCCTCCCCAGAGATGATGTGCATGGTCACATGCCCTAGTCACATGTCTAGTCACATGTGCCAGAAATCCAAAAAGTAAAAGGAGAGCTAGTAATCTGCCCTTAGTAAACATGGCCTCTGCCAGAAGACTGGAGAAGAAAAGAGAAATAAGGTATGCAAAGAATACCAAGCCTGCAATTATCTAGAAGTATGTGTTTGTAGATTGTCATTACTGAACATTTCTAAAGGTGTTATTTTAAAGATATGGGTAAAGGTCCACTTTAAGGACAGGATGTGAAGGGAAATCTCCCTAATCAGACACAGATAGCAAAAGAAAAAAAACCTGCCAGCAGTTTTAATCCTACATCTAAAATAAAAAAAAGTTTGGGCTTTTGTTATACTTTAATTTTAGACAAAAAGGGGAAAGGTCTAAAAAAGCTTCAAGTAAGGTTTTTGTTGCGGTTAACACAAAGATAAAAATCTGATAGAACTTCTAACCTTATTATTATTAAATATTATTAGAAGATCAGGGCCAGTTTTGCCATTCTTGGAACCTTGGCACTTGCTCCTATGATTTTGTTACATGCTTGGCAGGGCTTTCTGTCTCAGTATCTATCAAGGTTCTCATAGAACCCCTGCTGATCAGGAAATGACAGCTTTACGTCCTGACCTTAAATGACCATAACATAGTCAAATTTGATGGGGTCAGCAGAGATATGTGGTTTATTGTCAAATCATTTTTTTCTTATGTAAATCTTCCAGAAAAGTGACAGTTACTACATTTAAACAAAACAGATTAACTTACATGAACAAGTCTTTTTATCATTGTTTAGTTTGTACCCTGCTCTGCAAGCACAGGTATAAGATCCAGGAGAACTGACACATAGTTGCTCACAGCCATGGTCTCCTTGAGCACACAGGTCTATCACTGCAAAGCAAAATAGCAAAATATATCGTAAATATTGCAGTCAGATGATAAATGTATCCATTGCATTATAACACTGATCTGGTACAGGAAACAAATACATAAGTGGATATTGTAATTGTGTTCTGCCACAATTCTCACTTCCTCTGTTAAATCAGGCTATTGTTTTCCCTGACAACTGTCTAAGAGGGGAATTAATTTAATGTTACGTCACTTCCTGTCCTGCTAAGTCTTAAAGCGGACCTTTACAATCAAAAATCAAATTCTACCAATGCATCCCTTTATATATGATGATTAATAATAACATAGACATGTCAGGTGTAAAATGCTGTGATTTTGAAATACTTACACTTGCAGAGCATTCACTTCCTGCTTTGAAAGGGAAAAATGACTTCAGTTTGCCAAAAGCAATGCACACTGGAGTTGCCTTGTCATTAGCAGAGCATTGCTGGGAAAGCTCATCTGTAATCTCATGAGATCTCAGGGAAAGACATTTTCCTCCCCAGAGATGATGTGCATGGTCACATGCCCTAGTCACATGTCTAGTCACATGTGCCAGAAATCCAAAAAGTAAAAGGAGAGCTAGTAATCTGCCCTTAGTAAACATGGCCTCTGCCAGAAGACTGGAGAAGAAAAGAGAAATAAGGTATGCAAAGAATACCAAGCCTGCAATTATCTAGAAGTATGTGTTTGTAGATTGTCATTACTGAACATTTCTAAAGGTGTTATTTTAAAGATATGGGTAAAGGTCCACTTTAAGGACAGGATGTGAAGGGAAATCTCCCTAATCAGACACAGATAGCAAAAGAAAAAAAACCTGCCAGCAGTTTTAATCCTACATCTAAAATAAAAAAAAGTTTGGGCTTTTGTTATACTTTAATTTTAGACAAAAAGGGGAAAGGTCTAAAAAAGCTTCAAGTAAGGTTTTTGTTGCGGTTAACACAAAGATAAAAATCTGATAGAACTTCTAACCTTATTATTATTAAATATTATTAGAAGATCAGGGCCAGTTTTGCCATTCTTGGAACCTTGGCACTTGCTCCTATGATTTTGTTACATGCTTGGCAGGGCTTTCTGTCTCAGTATCTATCAAGGTTCTCATAGAACCCCTGCTGATCAGGAAATGACAGCTTTACGTCCTGACCTTAAATGACCATAACATAGTCAAATTTGATGGGGTCAGCAGAGATATGTGGTTTATTGTCAAATCATTTTTTTCTTATGTAAATCTTCCAGAAAAGTGACAGTTACTACATTTAAACAAAACAGATTAACTTACATGAACAAGTCTTTTTATCATTGTTTAGTTTGTACCCTGCTCTGCAAGCACAGGTATAAGATCCAGGAGAACTGACACATAGTTGCTCACAGCCATGGTCTCCTTGAGCACACAGGTCTATCACTGCAAAGCAAAATAGCAAAATATATCGTAAATATTGCAGTCAGATGATAAATGTATCCATTGCATTATAACACTGATCTGGTACAGGAAACAAATACATAAGTGGCCTGAACTTTCTTGGCAACAATTAGAACCTTTGGATCCTAACTAGGAGGTAATAATAAATACTTCTAACTGTTAGAGGTGCCTCTTATAACTGTTACAGATTCTCGAAATGGCAAAATCCTTGTGTGACCTAGGTAATCCTACACCTTTATTTAATAAGAATAAGGAAATAAGGTGTTAATTAGGTATGAAGTTTAGTCTATTGGCAAGAAACAGAGATGGGCTCTGGTGCTACAGACACTCACGAGTTCTCACGTGACAGATGGCTTCTCACATGACATTCTCATGGAGACATCTGCCAGTCTGTGGCCAGTAAGAAGTCAGAATTCTGGTATACCGCTGGTCTCAGAAATCTAAATCTCATAGCTTTGATATATCATCTCACAAACAACATTAAAATCTTAAAATGTATTAGTTATAATTTGACCCTAATGTTACACAGACAACTTTTTTTTTTTAATCTAGGCAACATTAATAGTCTTGATTAGGTTAGACTTCTTTCTTCACAACTTCTTTCTTTAAAGTGACACTAAACTTAGGAGTTAAATCTTAAAAATACAATCAAGTACCTAACTATTAACACAAATTTTACTTATTTGTGGGTAGATCTCAGGGGTAGATCCTCAAATCATCTCCGAATTCATGCTGACACTGTCCTTCCTTCTGGAGGGTGGCTACTTTTGTTCCCTATAGTCTTTGTGTGTGTTGTAAAGTAGCCACTGCTCCAAGCTCACTCCCATGATGAACTACAATCTCATATTTAGTTAGCTAATTTGCATTGAAGTTAAAGTCTATCACAGGAGCAAGCCACAGAAAAGGTATATATCTGCATGGGTAGTTTTCAGTGTCCATCTCAGGGCAGGTCAGGCCAATGCTTTTGGAGCCAAAGAAGAGAGGTATGTCCCTTCAAGGGTTAAGTTAAAGTTAGGTTTAGGTTATTGTTTTGGACAGGGGTTACAAAACAATAATGTTAAAATTAGGATTAAAGTTACGATTTGGAGTTTAAGTGATAGGTTAGGTTTTATAATTATTTGAGGGGGTTAGAATTTGGGTTCAGGGGAGAGGAACATTTAGACTGGTTCAATACCAATGCCTGCATAATTTCAAATGCATTTTGATGTGTGTTAATGCGCATTATTACACATTGGGGGAATTGATCAAAACTGGAGCAGACAAAATCTGGAGCAGATTTCTCTTTCTCATTTTCAAAACTTACCTGAGCAAACTGCAGAGAGATGCTGATTGGTTGCCATGGGCAACTGCTCCAGTTTATGTCTGCTCCAGTTTTGATAAATTCCCCTCTTTATATTTTGGGGGCATCCTATTAATTCCTAATGGACCCCTGCATACATGAATCTGCAGTAATCAATGCACCTCAACTCACCAGAATACATAGATGTCAATACATATGCACTGTACATTGACAAAAATGCGTCAAGTACATGGAAGGTTGTTAAGGGCCCATAAAAATGAATGGGTAGAAGCATAGTGACACATGTTACTCCCATGATGAAATACACACATACATGTAGGTGAAAATGGGCTCTAATTGTTAGGATCGTTTTAAAGGTTAGCATTCGGGAGGGCACTTTTTTAACTGGCTTTTACCAATGCCAGAATTTTGATGTAAAAAAAAAAAAAAGAATTACTAGCACAAAATTATTTGCTTTAGAAATGTTAGAGTTTCATAATATTTTGGATTTGTAAATGTTCACTATAAGCCTAAATGAACATCTTAAGAATGACCAGACCTATCCTTTAGATCAGTGGTTCTCAACCTGTGTAACCTCAGTACCCACATTTGTACTTGGTCATTAAGTCGCGACCCAAGTTGCACTGCAATGGAACGCAAGACATTGCGGTACTGCGCGTTCCAGTGAGGGTGATTGAACTGTGGGCAGTAGTTGCGCTTGGGGTGCCACATATTCAAATGAATGGCAATGCAATGCACCTCCTGCACCAGAACACATAGTAGGTGCGATTGCGTGGTACAATGCGTTAATGACACAGGACTGTTCAATTAACTCACTGTACTAGTGTGAACGGGCGCTCAAAAACACTGTCAGACACACAACCACAGACACAATCTTGCACACACACACTCAAAAAGAAAAAAAGTTATTTGTTTCTTTTTATTTTAAGATCCACCCAGGCTCCCTACCTTATGGGAACTAGTGTGGGCTGCTGTGCAGTGATGGAGCTCCATGCATATGTGCATTGCTTGTACAACTCCTTTGCACACCCTGTAGATATGCCAGGAGCCAGAATGTGACATCACTCCAGTCCAGGCACCTCTACCAGACATGCGAGGGAACTGTCAGCAATTCTCATCTGGATGGAGTTCCCTCACGGCCATAGCTCCAGCCAGGGGCGGACTGGGCAGGGTGGCAATTGCCCCCCGGGCCTCTCCGAACGCAAGAACGGACATTGCTGCGCTAGAGGGAGGCTGAGGAGCCTCTCAGCTAGAAAAGCAGAGAGCATGCAGCGACCCACTGAACAGGGGTTCGCGACCCACCAGTTGAGAACCAAGGCTTTAGATGACACCCTAAGCAGGTCCTACGCAGTTTCAAATTCTACTGCTTTATAGCTAGTCAGTTGGTGACTAGCCCAAAAGTATTTAAAAGCCACTCCATGAAAATATTGTAAAATACAGCATGCCTTCTTAAAAAGATGGTATTTATATGCCATCACTCCTATCACAACCCCTAGGGGTTTGTTGCTTCTCTGAGGGCAGAGCGTGTAAATCATTCCTTTATGTCTCAGTGGCCAATTCTTTATCTAGAATTGCATTTTTAAAGCACACATGCTGCATATAAATATAGGGCTAATGCTCTGCAAGCCCCACCTCACAGAAGCCATGGTTTCTGTAACTTGCACCAATGACGGCTAACAGAAATATGTATCTGATATTTCAGACTGTATCTGGGCTTGATGCACAGCTAAGCAGGAAGGCATAACAACATGATTTGCATGACTTCACCCTCTATCCTTAAACAAATCTGTAGTGAGTAAGTGATATTCATGGGCTGCCATTGCTGAACTCCTTCCACAAATACTAGTTGTCTGACTCTCTCTCACTTAGGTACTGAGAGACACTGACCTAAAATATGCATCTAGATTAGGAAGTCAGGACTCCTGCTTGCATACTTCTCCAATGGTTTCAGTACTTTCTGAGTCACTGACTACAGAAGCCATTAGACAGCATGGCATGAACATTAATGAACAGCATAACAGCCAAGCAATTAACATTTTCTGAAGGAGAATTAAGCAATAGCCAAGATTTCAATCAAGGGCTCCAATGCATAAATGCTAACCACTAAGCCACTGTGCTGCCCCCAAAGCAATTACTGTCTTTTCAATAGGCCTACTGAACATTGTCTTGATTAAATATTTTTCGCAATTCCTAAACTTGGGATACCTCATACCAAACATTAAAAATTCCCTTCCTATTAGGTTTATTTGGACACCTACATCCTGAACATCTGCAGTTCTTATGGAAACCCCTTTCGGCATACCGCTTTAATGGGAGCTCTGTTCCAGTACCCATCTTATGTTCTGACTAAGTAATATTTATTTAGCTTTATGCTGGACATGCAGTCTGAGAGGTAAATCCTGAGGTTATGACATATGGGTGGTCCATTTGTAAACCCAAAAGTCTTCGCACCATCTGTGTCAGATGAAGTAATGGTGGTAGAATGGTAGCTACGTCTAAAAAACGGGAAATTGAAACAAAGGTATTGTACCTCACATTGAAGAAAATAATCTCTTGGCTCCCTTAAGTTAGCCATACGCTAAATGTTCTCACCAGAACATTTAATAATGCCAACAGTGACTTGTAAAATGTCATTTGAAATCTGGTTTGATTGTAACATTTGATTTTGGAAATAAATGATGTTTCTTGAAAGATAACCACATTCACGGTTAACATTTAATTTGTTCAAGAATAATATTCCATCCTGCTCCTTTGATTTTGTTCGTCACTGTGGTCAAAACTGATCATCGATTTGACCTGAATAACCGTTAGAAAATCAAATGAACATTCTGAAAGCAAATGCCTTCGAACAAAATTCTACTGGTGTAGGGCCAGCATTAGAGCCATAAGTTCTAACTTTGTAACTATTCTCTGAAGAACGTGTTTGACTAAATAGATCTGTTAAGAACATATTATAGCTGAACCTCGTACTGTGTACCCACTAACCGTATAGGATATCTAGCAAAGTAAAAATATTTTGTAAAAGGGAGGCATGTCCATAGATTTGAAACAGAGAAGGTTAGAAGACATACATATGCTAAAATATCTCAGCTCAATTTCTCTCCATCCTCCATTCCCTCTGCCCATGTACTTGTAATTGGCCAGGTTCCCCTTTATTCAATTTTTCCCCATGTATAATTTCCTTTTAATGCCATTTCATAAATACATAGCAAAAGGGATTCTTACTTACTTGAACATGTCTTTCCATCTGCATTAAGTTTGTAACCCGGGTTACACTTACAGTAGTAGGAGCTGGGAACACTAACACAGATATGTTGGCATCCATGGTCCATTTCAGTGCACATATCTACACCTGAAAAAGGAGGATTTTTCAAGTATGAGTAGACATCTGAGACATTTTCTTTCTAGTAACACAAAAGACTCTCTTTGTGCTTCACTTAAAGGAAACTGTAGAAAGCCTCATGCTGCAAGGGAAATTTAAGAAAATGCTCCTAATCATAGGACATAATAAAGGACAGCTCCAGGAAATATAATTAGAGATGATGGTTAGAGGTAAGTGTAATGTGTTAATTAAAATAACTACCAAGCTTTCTTTTTTGATATATTGCCCTCCAAAACCTGTGCCAGGAGGGCAGTAGTACTGTCAGCTTAATGTGCACTCTTCTCTTCTTTCTGTCACTATTTTCTGAATGAAGTTAGTGTTGCATATGGTAGCCAGATTAGTTACCCTTCAGTAACTAATCGCATTCATAAAATAGCAGCAACAGGAGAGCCATACCTCTAAAAAGGACAGCATAAAGGTAAGAGTAAATCACACATAACACTTACTTCCCACCATCCTTTCCAGTTATATTTACTGGAACTCTTCTTTTAAGTGGGGTACGTGCAATGCTAGAGGGTTCTCAACCAAAATGCACATATTGCCTGAGCATGCATCATAATATAATAAAAAAAACAGAGCAAGCACCAAACTTTTCTTGGACTTGGATTGACTTAACAAAACGGAAGCAGCTGCATATGCATGGTTGGATTTCTGCAAGGACTACATTATCCATGCCTAGGCTGCCAGTAACATGCCAAATACTTTACTGATTCTAGAAACGTTTAATGTAAATCTGCTGTGATGATTTTGATACTACGATTTTTGACTATATACAGTATATCGCTTAATGCTTTCTACAACAATATACAACAGAACACATTTGATAATAAAAGGGTGGATCAACCTAAAAATGACATGTTTTCGAATGGTATTGGCTTGTACTACCCACTGTCTTTTTATCATTCTTCAATGCAACAATTCGGAAATTCAGGTACAAACAGTCACATCCATTATTAGAGGTTACAATGGAAAGAGTAAGGAGGACCTTGCTTGCCTTTAAAATGGCTGGAGCAGCGGGCCAGAGCTATTAGAAGCCAGTGCATAGTTCAACCAATAGGGACCCATCAATAAACATATAATACAAAAATACAACTCATTAGCATTTCAAGTGAACCTGTAGCATTCAAGTACCTTATAAAAGTTTATGATGTCATAATTTTGAAACAGAAAGTGCAGCTATGACCGAACACCTGAAAAAGGTGTAAGGGAAGTGCTGACATAACTTCCAACGCAGCTGGAACAAACTACAATTTCCATCATGCAATAGGAATTAATAATTTTATCAATGGTTGATAAAATACACAAGGGATTATGTTTTTTATTGCTTCCATTTACTAAAAAACATGTCTTTTCAGTTTGTAAAGCACCATACTTGCTCCTTACAGTCATACACTGCATGAGTCGGTGGGGAGGGGCGCGTACAGTGAAACTATATACCATATGCTATACTCATTTAAATAGCCTGTCTGAATTTCTATAGGCAATGTAGGCAGACATTTTAATATGTAAGTGATAATCTAATTACACTATATTATTTTTATATAGGTACATTAAGTCATTAGTTTACTATTTAGCTTTATATAGTAAAATGCTAGAATGTATTTGAGCTAGTGAGCCTTAAAAATGTATTTTGTAAAGTTTTTAAACGGGACCTTTCATCAGGTTTGCAGCCAGTTATAGTTTTGTATACATTTGCAAAGATGTGTTCTCTTTCTTGCAACTATGACAACTGTACTAATTTTGTAGCCAGAATTCCTTTGAAACCTCACCCCTTGCTCCTGAAACTGGTGAGCTGCTTTATCCAGATCTCTGCATAATGCACATTGTTAAATGACAGGTACCTGTCCTGATGCTTGTAGTATGGCATCCCCAACCAAGCCCTTAGGTCTAAAATACTAGGAGATGAATTTCTGTTTTTTTTTATGTGGCATGTCTAAAGGAATATTGGAGGTTCAATGTTAACCTGTCCCTTGGACTAATCATTATTATTGTAATGACAGAAGCTTCCACCTAACACTCATTTTGATACATTTCAGCAGATATACTGCTATGGTTTATGTTAATGTCTATTGAATAGGAGCAGGTAAGAATTTGTGATAAAATTCCAAAAAATGTGTGCAATGCATAAAGCTGACCTGTAAACAAAACTTGAGATTTCTGTTAAAACAATTTCTGTTACAAGTATTTCGACTTACCACAGAGTTTATCCTGAAACTGGATGGCAAAGTGCTGAATGAGATCAAATGATTCTACATAGAACACATGGTCCTCAAAAGGAGGTGAGGCCATGGCCCGCAGAGAGTTGACATCTGCTCTTTGTACACCAACTGCATAGATTTCAATTTGAGCTTCCCGAGCCTGTGCAGCCACCTCCGTAACACGATCTTGTGGCCTACCATCTGTCACTATAACAGCAACTCTTGGAATCCTCTGAGACAGTGGTCGAGCTCCTTCTTCCTCAGTAAAAGCAACATTCATTGCGTATTGTATAGCCAGACCAGTCATGGTCCCTTGTGCTAAAGGAATTATGTCATTTATGGCCTTTTGCATTTGAGCCTTTGTAGTGTAAGCCTTAAGAGAATATACATTTTGCACTTGGCTGGAGTACTGCACTACTCCAACTCTTGTATGGCTAGGTCCAATTTCAAGTGAATTGATCATATCAATCATAAATTTTCTCATGTTTTCAAATTCAAAGGGTCGGACACTTCTTGAGCTGTCAATGATGAAGACCAGGTCCATGGGGCCAGTCTTACATTGCTGCACTGCAAGGTACACAAAGTAAATTCAGTTATTTATGAATGCACAGGTATATACAGTCGCAAACAGAAGCCTACTTTGAAGCCCAACATTGACTAATAGTTCCTTTTATTAATAATCATATTGCATCCTACACAAAAGCAGCAAATCTTCTTTCCTATTATTTTTTTCTTTTTTAACTTTTAATTAAGGCAGATTTTTTCTGAATAAAAACTGGGCCCTGTTTTATTAAAATGTAGCTTTTCGCTCAAGAGCTGAACATCCATTCAAGGATTTTAACAAATAGCATGAAATTAAGGATCTCAAGTCTTTGCAACAGAGCATATTGGCTTTTAGTTGAGCTTGTAGCTCTAAATAATCAAGTGTATGTATAGCCCAAATTAGTTTTTACTTAGTTTAGGATAGAGACGATTTATCTTCATTTTCTATTTTGGTGATAATGGTTACCAGGCCTCGATGATACAACTCCCACTCATGAGCGCAGGAGTTACTTAATCTCGGCATGCGAAAATTGGTGACAGGGAGCAAGAAGATTGATTGGCAGAAGAGGCGTACACAGTCCCTATAGAAAGCCTGCCAGTTGACAGTTTCTTTTTTTTATATTTTTTATTATTTTATTTTCACTTGAAGAGATGAGCTAATGATATATTTAAAAAATAAGTAAACTGTCATACTGGAACCTGCACCACCTAACGTGGTGGGATACACTATAAAGCACCACATAAACATGAAATAATAGTTGCACATTCTGGAATTTTGCAAGCATATGCAAAATTGCATGCAAATGCGCAAAAAGGGTGGGACGATTTTGACAGATGGATGATTTAAAAAAAAAACAGTTGTGAACAGTTGTATTCAGCAATCCAAAACAAACCTAAATTAGCGTTAAATCATCTGACCACTGTAAAGTTGATTCAGCCTGATTTTAATAATTTACTGCACACTATTGCTAACTGACCAAATTGTCAAACACTTTAATATCTCAATATTACCCATCTGTAATGCCATTTACTTGGGTGAATTTTTTTTCTCCCCATAGTTACACAACTTTCACCCAAGATTCCCACATCTTTCTAATCTAATGCTGGGTGAAAGTGGTATGAACCCTGGGAGTAAAAAATTCCCCCTTAAAGTATTTTGTAAGTGTTGTATAAATCTACATATAAACTATTAAGATACACTGTTGTGAAAATACAGTATATGTAAATGCATTTTTGTATATCTTTCTTTGCTTTTGTATTCTGGCCATAACAAAAAAAAAAAATGAGATATGCAGTATATATATTTTTGTCAGGTATACCGCATACAAAATATAGCATGTTAATATTTTGTATTTTTAGCCAGTAGGTGGTGCTCTAGGCTCTATTTCCACGTTAATTTGTCTATACTTAGGGGTCTATTCGCGAAGCTGCCAAAGGATCTGGCTGTAGCTTCGGCCGATCCTTCGGCTAGCTTCGGCCCCAGGACCCCTTCGGTTCAATAGAACCGAAGGGGTGCTGTACGGGCTATTCACAATAGCCTGTACAGCTCCCGATCATGGCCGAGCGGCTCAGTCGAGCCGAACGCATATGCATCGGCTCGGCTGAGCCGTGCTGAAAGCCGAAGCTGGCCGAGCGGCCGGCCATTGGCCGGCCGACAGCCTGCTTCTGACAGCTGGGCGGACCCAGCCGTGATCTTACGGCTGGTTCCGGCCACTTTCAGAGAGATCAGCGTCCCTGGTTACCTGCTAACCAGGGACACTGATCTCCAAACAGCTAACTCTCCCTGGCGCCCCGGGAGTCTCCTGCTCCCGGCCACCAAGGAGAGAAGCACTGCTGTGTCTTTTTTTTCTTTATTCTGACACGAGCGATGTCAGAATAGAAAAAAAAAACCATTTCCCATTGAAAAGCATTGGGACATTACTATTGGCTATTTCAATTTGCAATAGCCAATAGTAAACTAGCATTGTACCCGCCCTCTGCTGCAGTTCCCCATCAGAGGGCGGGTACAATGCCAGAGCGCCCGGGAGAGTTTTTTTTAATTATTTTTTTTTTACAGCAGCAGAGCCGCCGGACAATTGGAAACTATTGGGTGGAGCTAACTGTCACTGCTAGCTCCGCACAATCGTTTTCTAATTACTTTTTTTTTACTTTTTTCACTCTTTTTCTGTTCTGCTCGGAACCTCTGAGGGACCGAGCAGAACAGCCGAGCCAAATGCCGCTCGACAGCATTCGGCTATTCACTCACTGCTGTTTGGCATCTTTAAGAATAGCCCGAACAGCAATGAGTAGCCTGCCTGAGGTTCAGCTCAGCCGATCCAGATGTTGGATCGGCTGAGTCGAACTCCTTCTGCACTTCGGGTCGGCCAAACATGCTAAACATGTTCGGCCGACCCGAAGCCACGCGAAGCAAGCCGGTGAAATCAGCCGTACCAGCCTGAAGTGAATAGCCGAACAGTGTTCGGCTCACTTCACTTCAGGTCGATCATTCACTCGGCTGCCTACAGCAGCTTAGTGAATAGACCCCTTAGTGTTGAGTGATAATTTACCCTGAATTCCTTTAGATGGGGCAGAATTTCACTCAGTGAGAGAGTCCGATGAAAACAATTTCTGCTGATCTTTCTCTTTAGAAAACTCATAATACAGAGATAGTGTGTATCTTCTGTGAAGGGGTGTTATTCCCTGTGCCATTGGCTCCTTGTATACTAACTATTGAAGATAATGATTACAATCTATTGCTAATTATGTTCATTTCTGATTACATGGGTGGATATATATTCTGCTGTAAACCTATTACAATTTAGTACTGTATGTGTTTTTCTAGTCTGAGGAAGGGCTTGTTGCCCGAAAGTGTCTCAATTTACAGAAACACTGCTATTTTTAAATAAATATACTTTGGAGTGCTGCAATTTTGGACTAATCATTATATGATTGAAGTGATACTAGGGAAGCTTTGTTGCGCTGCATCCTTTTGAGTTGCAACAAGTGTGGTTCTCCTTTGCTGTTACTTTATATATATATATATATA